ATCCTCTGTAATTCTCAAGCTCTTTGTTTTCTTCTTTGGTGCTTTCTGAAGATCATTTTTCCCTGCTTGACTCCTAAGTGCACTGGCTACTCCAGCTTTGTGCCCTCTTCAGACTCTCCTTCTCTTTCTCACTCTTAAAAGTTGAAGGTCCTTATGAGCTTTCGGTCGTCATCTCGTTCTACACTCTACTCCTAAGGAACGACATCCACATATGCTGCTTCCGATGGGAAGTCTGTCTTTAGATGTTTCTTGGCCACTTTACGGAGTCCATGTGCTTTCTCCCCTTCTTGAGATGCCTCATTCCAGATTCTGGTGAGAGAATCCCCTTTTCCCTATCTCTCATTGTAATAGGAAACTTAATTGAAATAATTTAGCATGATTACTGTGTTTATATCTTTTATCTCTTCCAAACTGAACTCTCCAGAAGAATAGGTTTGGCATTCTCTTTTTTCACCTCTGTATTCTCAGAACTATCAAATATCCGATATAGAAATATGAAGTTTTAAAATATAACCTGGAACTTCCCTGCTGGTGCAGTGGTTAAGAATCCGCCTGCCATTGCAGGGGAAACGGGTTCGATCCCTGGTCCGGGAAGATCCCACATGCCGCGGAGCCACTAAGCTTGTGGGCCACAACTACTGAGCCTGTGCTGTACAGCCCACGAGCCACAACTACTGAGCCTGTGCACCACAACTACTGAGTCCACGTGCCGCAACTACTGAAACCCGCACGCCTAGAGCCCGTGCTCCACAACAAGAGAAGCCATCGCAATGAGAAGCCCGCGCATCACAACGAAGAGTAGCCCCTGCTCGCCACAACTAGAGAAAGCCTGCGCACAGCAACAAAGACCCAGCACGGCGAAAAATAAATAAAATTTTAAAAAGTAAAATAAAATATAAACCACTGAAATAAATGAATGATGAGAATGATGAGTAGAATTTATCATCCATGTTTCAGTATGCCTTGCAAATTAAAGCTACATCTTTTTGTAAGAATAAAAAAACCCAAGATGTCATCTGGGGGAGAGTTTCATAAATTCAACAAGAAAATAATTTGAAACAATATAGAGGTAAGCATATTTTATTATATTGAAAACACTATAAAGGTGAACATGATATTATATGAACAAAACTATTTTAAATACCATACATAGTATGACTGAGATAAAGTAGAAGAATAAATAGATGACTACATTAGAGCCCTTTGCACTTTAATCACTATCATTTTGACTCCTGGTCTGATCATTTCTAAATCTCTACTGTATATGAGTCTAGTTCTGATACTTGCTCTGTCTCTTCAAACTGTGTTTTTCACCTTTCAGTATGGTAAGTTTCTGTTGAAAGTTGAACATGATGTATGGGGTAAAAGGAACTGAGGTAAATTGGCCTTTAGGGTGAGGATTTACAATTCTCTTGCTACGAGGTTGGCTATGTTTACTTCAAGTCCTGGGCTCTGTTTCTGCCCTCTTTATTTTCCATATCAGCCAAGCTGGCTTATCCTTTGGGATTGGTCTTCTTGAAAATAGATTTATTAGACCTGTTTGACAAGTAACCACCATAGGTGACAGGTCTATATCTTGTTCACCATTTTATCATTAGTACAGAGTTCATAATAATTACTCCAAATAATTATTAACAAAGAGTATTCTTAGATTTTCCATTAGACCTCCCATCAGAAGCTTCTACTGACCTCGCATCAGAGCCTTATATTGAAGTAATTATTAAGCATCATTAGATGATTCAGTACATTTCTACTGAGCCTCTTGGTTCATCATTCTCCATCTCACAGTGAAGACGTAGGGTGGTGAACATGTAGGGCATAGGATGCTAGATAAAATTAGCCTTCTCTGCTTTCCTGGTGTCAGAGTCTTTGTAATGTTATATGTTCTTTTTCATTTAGTAATTTTCTGGGCAAGGTTTGTCTTGCTACTACTGATTTACTTCCTTTTTCATCTTGAGTTGAGTATCTTAAGAGGGAAGCAAAAATGGAAACATAAAGGGCCCATACCATGATTTTCCATAATGTGCAATACATCATTGATTTGCTTCTCCATTCACCTTTCTTGGAAAGCTGTCCTCGCATTTGATGTACTTAGGTAAAAGGAAAACAAATGCAAATCTGACTATGATGAGAGTGAAAGAAGTAAAGTGACTCCCCAGGTGAAATAATGACAATGGGAGTTCTTCTCTTGTTACCCTTCCACTTGCTCCAGTATGGGTTCTGCTGATTAATTTCAGCAAATCAGCTCTCACTAAGGTCAGTTCTATCTGTTTCCCTTGTAGTGGATGGTTTCAAGCGCAGAGCAGCTTACTGACATTCAACATCATATTCATCAAAATAATGATACATTATCACTGTAAGTGATTAAATGTCAGGATTTAAAGTAAATCAAATCTTGAACATTGATATGAGTTTTCAGTACATCAAATCCATGAAATCTCTTCAGAAGCAAAAAATAGTTCGAAAAAGGAAAACAATGCAGAGAAAAAAAATAATCCACATCCATTCTAGGTTCCACCCTATGTCTCTCCTCCAATTCAGACGGCAAATATCTCAAACCTATTTTCTGTGTATATTGTCATTCCTTTCTCTTATTCATCCTTCCACCTTCTCCACTATGGTTTCTGCTGATTAATTCTACCAAACAAGCTGTCACTAAGTGGCCAATGCCATCTCTTTTCCCAATGTAGGAGCACTTTCCATCTACGTTTTCATGAATGCATTGAATCTTCTAAGCAGTTTCAGTCTTTCAAACATGGTCTTCTCACCTTTCTCTCTTGTCCTGTTAACATATGGGCATTTCCCTTGCTTTCCCTCCCTTTTAACATTAAGGTCATAGGATTAAATTTTCAGTCCTTTTCTCATGTGATACTCTCCTCCTGTTTGATCACTTCTTCTGTTCCATGCTTTACACTTCATGGAATTGCTTCTAAATTGCCATCTCCAGTATCCAATGGACATTTGCACTGAAATGTCTACTAGTTAACTATAGGTAATATCTACTGCTTTAATTTCTATATCCTCGCATGACATGATCCACCTTCTGCTGGGGGAATTCCATTTTCCCACCTTCTCACCGTAGCACTAAATTTAACCGATATTAATTTCTACTACAAATTAGTACTATTTTAAAAATAATTAAATTTAATTGTGAGTTAACTGATTTTTTAAATTTATTTATCTATTTATTTGGCTGTGCCAGGTGTTAGTTGTGGCACACGGCATCTTCATTGCTGCGTGCAGGATCTTCATCGCGGCATTCGTGATCTTTGGTTGCAGCATTCAGGATCTTTTAGTTGTTTGCGGCATGTGGGCTCTTACTTGTGGCATGCAGGATCTAGTTCCCTGACCAGGGATGGAATCCGGGCCCCCTGTATTGGGAGAGCAGAGTCTTAAACACTGTACCAGCAAGGAAGTCCCTGTATTAACTGATTATTGTTTTTAGCTTACTTTCCTTAAAAAAAAAAAAATCAGAGTTACCCAAAGCAGAATTGGATTAGCTACGTTCACCTCTAGGTCCTGAGGGCAACCCACGACCTGGCTAGAAGAAGTCTATTTTTATTTCTAACGTGAAAATCGTAATGATGGGTCAAGGAATTGTAACATACATTCTTTAATCAGGTTGCACATTCAGGCTTGGTGTTTCTTTCTCTTTTTTTTTTTTTAGTGGTACTCGGGCCTCTCACTGTTTTCGCCTCTCCCATTGCGGAGCACAGGCTCCGGACGCGCAGGCTCAGCGGCCATGGCTCATGGGCCCAGCCGCTCCGCGGCATGTGGGATCTTCCCGGACCRGGGCACGAACCTGTGTCCCCTGCATCGGCAGGCGGACTCTCAACCACTGCGCCACCAGGGAAGGCCCTTGGTGTTTCTTTTTTAAAGAAAAAAAACAAAACAGGAAGTTTTCTCTAGTAAGAATTTAATGCACAAAGAAAACTCATAAAGTGAGTTAATACAAAGTATATATTTTTTCTCTTAACCACAATGTATACTTGCACATAATATTATGTAAATAAAAATAATTTAAATCTTTATAAATAGTGAAATAAATATTAAAATAGATAAATAAATATTTAAGTAGATAAGTAAGTAGATAGATCAACATGGGCATCTATGAGGGATGAGTGCCTGTAGAGTAGAACATCATGTTGCTTAATATTCCTAAAAACACTGGACAAATTAATTCAATTCAGGGCATGATGAGAGCAGAAATGAGAGTCTTTGACATGGCAGCACAGGTGGAAGTATGGTCTCGTTAGTCACTGAGAATCATTTCGGTGTTGAACCAGGTGTGTGTCATTCCTTCCTCCTGAGTCTTTCTTACAAGTTCGTTGATGAAGAGAAGGATCTCATGACTTCTGCTCTGACAATCTCCCAGGCACAAGGGCTGTACTTCTTCTCTTGCAGATAGACAGTGATTCTGTGGAAGTATTTCCTCACAGCCAGGATGGAGTCCTCCTTCAGCAGGGGAGTCCCTTCCAGCCCCGCCTCCTGCATCACACAGGCTTGCAGGTCAGTGAGCTGCTGATAAAGTGCAGTGCAGAACTTGTCCAGGAGGGTCTCATCCCAAGCGGCAGCCGAGCCCTCTGTGCTGAAGAGCTGGAAGGTCTGCTGGATCATCTCATGGACGACAGCGATGGCTTGAGCCTTCTGGAACTGGTTGCCTCCAAACGCCTCCTGGGGGAATCCAAAGTCATTTCTGTCCTTCAGGCAGGAGAAGGGGGAGATTCTCCTCATCTGTTGCAGGAGCATCAGGGCCCTCGTGTTAGCCAGGCTGTGGGTCTGAGGCAGGTCGCAGCCCAGAGAGCAGTTGGAGTTGCAGCTGAGCAGCACCAGGGCCAGGAGTAAGGACAAGGTCGGGGACATCGGGGACCCTGCAGATGCTGCTGGCCTGGCTGAGGTGGGCACTCTGTGAACCCTGCTCTCTAGGTTCTCTGAAGACCTTCCTTCAGGCCTGGGTCTTAAATGGGAGCGAATTGGTTTCCATTTTCTGAATGTTCCCTCTAACTTTCTACTTCTGTTTTTGCTTTTCATTTTGCACTCTCCAGATGGGTTAGGACAACATTTCTCAACCTTTTTTTTCCCCATTATTGCCTGTTCGCCTGCCCACAGATCCTTTTTAGATAGGTTTTTTTCCTAATTGCCCCCAACATGAAATTTTGTTAACACAGATATACTGTGTGTCTAGTTTTGTACTTCATGGGTATCTTTACTTTATATGTAGACAGAGAAAGTGCAAAGCTTACTGTTTGTATTCTATGCAGGGTTAAGAATGACATAAAATTGAAAGCTGTGAATTAAGTGGAAAAGCTATTGAATTTTGTTATAACTTATGACTAAGTTTGCAGAATGATTTTTGAGGTAGGATATTTACTTATATAAATAGTAATATATCAAATTACATATCCATATAAATTTTATATAAATACTTTATAATAATACCAAAGTATAGATATACTTAAAAATAATTTAAAATTGCTCAAAATCTTTGAAAATCTTAAATTATTTTCTTAATATTTATTTTTCGGTAATTTAAATTTTGCTTCATATCAGAAAATAATTTTTAATTTCACTGGCTGCTAGATATTCATCAGATATTATCAACATTTTTTTTTGTTTATCACTTGCCATAATTATGGATGTGTTGAACAACTTTAGTAGAATTAAACAATAAAATATCATAGAACCTTCCCTGGAACCGGGAACAGCACGCTTCTCTACGCGGTCGCAAGAGGGCACAGGATGTCTTTTGATCGGATGTGTTAGGGAAACGCCCACGTCGGAGAGTTGCAGGTTCCGCGGTTTGGGCAGCACGAGAGGGACTGGGTCGGGTTCTCACGGGGCAATTTTATACTGATACAGTAGTGCGAAAAACCCCCTTCATTTTCACGGTGCTGAGTGCTGCAGAGGGAACCTTAATGCGGCCTCTCCAGCGATATTTTTGTCTGGTAGCAAGCCCGGAACCTTGCATTTTCTGGGCTTCCCCTGAGTTTTGTGCTTTATTTTCGCACAGAAACTTGAGCGAGGCCATTTTTGGGAAAGAAGCCGTTTTCTGAGGGGTTTGAAGCTGGGAAGCGAGTTGGGGCCGGTTTTACAGATTCGGGCTCGTTTCTGGCGCTCTGCTGCGACGGCTCAGAGAGAGGGGAACGCGGCGGCGATGGGACGACAGGACAGTGTCGGGGACGCCTTGGGGGTGAGTCGGAGCGCGGCCACCACCGGGGCTGAGGACGCGGGAGCTGAGCGCGCCTGTAGATGCTCTGGGACTTCATGGTGTCTTTCAAGGATACAGCGTTAAAGTGGGGGAGGAAGTACTGAATAACTGAAAAGTGGGAATATTTTAAAACTCACAGTATTTTTTAATATTTTTAAATTAAATTTATATTGTTTTATTTAAATTAAATATTTTAGAATTTTTTACATTTTAATATATTTTCTGAAAATATTTTAAATATTGAAGGTAGGGTATTAAAATATATGGTTGTTAAAACACAGCATTTTATTAAACTGTTTAAACTATAGTTTCTTCATACTAAAACAAGAATTTAATATAATTTTACTTTCCTAGCTTTAATGGAAGCAAACTCATTAATATTTTCAAGACTACTTCTTTACCTGTTTGAGAGAACTGCAGTGTTTGACAATTTCTTGTGACTCCGTGACAGTCTTAAATAATTTTTATTTAACTGGAGTTTCTGAAACACCTTTCTCAGGACCCCAGCTCTACTGTAGTGTAGAAAGAAGAGTTAGTGTCCTGTTCAAGCAGTTGAGGACATTGACCAGGTCTGAGCTTCTCATTTTCTTTGGTAAGAATTTTAGAGACTAAACAGAAATTGCCCAAATTTCATTGGCAACGTGAAGCCTTCCTCTGTAAGACTGTCAGCGTCATCCAAATGCAGGGTCATTTCTGTCTTTATTTAAAATTTTGCTATTTTCTTCAGCATGTATGTTGTGGTGTTTTCATTTTTATATATTGCCTTAAAATATTATTTATCTTGATCACTTAGATTTGGTGCCTTCTTACATTCCATGCTTGAGGGAAGCCCTCCCTTTCTTTACCCAAATAGCCAGGAAATAGCTTTCGAAGTAACGTTGTGACCTTCCATAGCTAAAAATATAGGAATGTCCCATTTTTCATCACCCTCTGCCCCATCTACATTTTATAACCTATATCCTGGTCTCTATAACTTTTATTTTTTTATTTCGTTTATTTATTTATTTATTTATTTTTGGCTGCATTGGGTCTTCACTGCTGTGTGCGGGCTTTCTCTAGTTGCGGCGAGCAGGGGTTACTCTTCCTTGCGGTACACAGGCTTCTCATTGCGGTGGCCTCTCTTGTTGCGGAGCACGGGCTCCAGGCGCGCGGGCTCAGTAGTTGTGGCACGTGGGCTTAGTTGCTCCACAGCATATGGGATCTTTCCGGACAGGGATTGAACCCGTGTCCCCTGAGTCGGCAGGCGGTTTCTTAACCACTGCGCCACCCGGGAAGTCCCTCTATAGCTTTTAAAAACATCTTTGTCTTAAAATAATATCACCAGAGGTGGTCTGAGACTAACTGAGGATGAGGGAAGGAACTGTTTATCTCATTTATACTATACATTTATACAGAGCAGCCATTTTTCCTCGATGCTGGTTCTCTGCAAATGTTTCAAGTGCTGTAGGATTTCTCTCCTTAATGCACCAGACACTGCTCTAGGCCTGGAAACTTGGGCTTTGCTCCTTCACAGTCCTGCAGGCAACCCCTCTCCTAGAGTTTGCATTTGGGGCCTCAACACGCAGACCCCTGACACTGTTAAGGGAGCGGCAGTCAAAGCCTCTCTTGGTGGGGCTGATCATGGACTCTACAAGTTACTATATGTCACATTAATGCTAAAGGCAGCTATGTTCACTAAATTCAGATTCTCAGACTATAATTTGCAAACTTCATTTAATCTTTACATTTGCCTGTGTGACAACTACTTGAGTTGCCTCAGTTTTTTAGAAGAGGAAATCAAAATCTGATGTCATTTAAATTCAGGAACCCCAGATTTTTGTCAGAGTGGAGCCTTCTGCTGCTCCCAGGCCCTCCTCTTCATCAGCTCTGAGTACTGGCCCTCAGCTGCACTGAGCACGTGGTGCTTCCCTCATCCTAATCCTGCCTCTAAAGTCTGTCTTCCCTGCTCCCTGGAGGGCGGTCACCATCCCTGCCTTACTTTCCTGGAATCCACATTGCCAAGCACAGTGTCACATATATATGTGGTGAGCACACTTTTGGTGACAGAAGGAAGAGAATGGTATGAATTAGCCCTTGGTGTTAACATTTATGCCACTCTTATCCGTAGACTATGTCTGGAAACATGAGCTATGACTCCTATGAAGTCATGTGGAAGAATTCAAATCTAATGTCTTAGCCCCTTAAAGGGGACATGGAGAGAGGCGAGGCTAGTTGTATTTTGGTGCATTACAAAGCATGAACATACAGTAAAATGTCAAATGTCTAAGTACTCTTATTAGAATTTTAAAAGACACAGATTGAGACTCAGATTTTATTTCAACCTTGGGTCTCATTTGGATGAGTACATCCTATTGGATTTATACTCTGTCCTTTTCCATGAATGTGTTTAATTTCCAGCGTAATACACAAAAGCGTTGAAGTTGCGACATTATCTGTTGCCGATAAATTGAATAGACATTGGAAAAACTTGGAAACAACATTGGCATAAGTACAGAATTGTGAACCTTGTACTATTTAAGAATCTCATTTGCAGGCAGGTACTCAGAGCAGCTGGATACAGGCTCCCACAGCCAGACACCTGAATCACCAGGCTCACCGGGGCCTGCCACCCTCCTCACTGAGGACACCCAGGATGACGTTCTCCAGCCCTGTCTGCACCCTTAGCTGTGACCAGCCCCGAACCACGGCCTGCCAAAGCAGGAGACCCTCACAAGTTCTGCACCTAATGGAAGAATCTTTCCATTGTTTTCCTGCCTGAAGGACAAGAAGGGTTTCAGGTTCCTCCAGGAGCAGCCAGTTGCAAATAGCTCAGGCCACCTCTTTCTCCATGCGGTAATCTAGCAGATCTTCAACTTTTTCAGCAAAGAGGGATGATAATCCTCATTGGACTGATCAGCAGCTAGAATTGTTGGAGACCTGTTTGGTGCAGAAAATGGAGATGGAAAGACTTTCTGAGCAATGAGGACTCCAGCCAGACTTTGAAGAACTCCTTCCAAAGTACCAGGCTCAGGGAATTCCCTGGTGCTCCAGTGGTTTGGACTCGGCGCCTTCACTGCTGTGACTCGGATTCAGTCCCTGATCCCACAAGCCGCTGGACCTGGCCGAAAACAACAAAAAGGAGGAAAAAAAAACCCAAAATAAACAAAAAGTACCAGGGTCGATATGAGAAGGAAAGTACACAACTGCTGTGCCTGGGACATTGTCATACTGGAAGTTAAGACATGAAAATTAGTAAATGCTTTCTTTGTATTAATAAGCTCATCAGAAAACTCAAGAAGTCAAATAGGAGACCTAAGCTTCCACAGTATGTCTCATCTACAGTCCTCCCTCAGTACCCGAGGGGGAGAGGTTCCTGGACTTCCACGGATACCGTGTGGATCTTCAAGTTCCTTATATAAGATGGTATAGTATTTGCATATAACCTACATACATCTCCCATATACTTTAAATCACCTCTAGATTACTTATAATACCTAATACAATGTAAATGCTATAAATAGTTGCTGGCACATGGCAAATTCAAGCTTTGTTTTTTGGAACTTTCTGGAACTTTTTTTTCAAATATTTTCAACCTGTAGTGGTTGAACCCATGTATTTGGAGGGCTGACTGCACTTATTAGTGGCCTCAATCTTGTAAATATTTACTCAGTTCAAAGACTTTTTTGTCTGCTTCCGTTAAAAAATATATTGTCATTTTAGCAGATTTTTATCACTAATAAGAAACTGTAGTTTTGAATAGAAAGAAATTTCTTTTTAGTTTGTAATAATTAGTATTTATTATCTTAGGATAATTGCTATATTTGCAAATTTTACTATTTATGTTATAATATGACAAGCTTTGCCTTTTGTTTTATTTTGCTTTGTGGGGCTGCTTTATATATTAAGTGCTCAGTCTTAACTTTTTTTTTTTTGGCCGCACGCGGCATGTGGGATCTTAGTTCCCTGAGCAGGGATCACACCCATGCCCGCTGCAGTGGAACCACAGTCTTAACTGCTGGACTGTCAGGGAAGTCCGCTGAATCTTACTTTTGCTTTTATTTTCTTATTTTTTTATTGGAGTATAATTGCTTTAAAATGTTGTGTTAGTTTCTGCTGTACAATGAAGTGAATCAGGTATATGTCTACAAACATCCCCTTCCTCTTGGACCTCCCTCCATCCCCCTCCCCCATCCCACCTAGGTCATCACAGAGCACCGAGCTGAGCTCCCTGTGCCAAACAGCAGGTTCCCCCCAGCTATCTGTTTTATACATGGTAATGTATATACATCAATCCTAATCTCCCAGTTTATCCCACCCTCCCCTTCCCCCTCCACCATGTCCACACATCTGTTCTCTATGTCTGCGTCTCTATTCCTGCCCTGCAAATAGGTTCACCTGTACCATTTTTCTAGATTCCACGTATATGCGTTAATATACGATATTTGTTTTTCTCTTTCTGGCTTACTTCACTCTTTTGCTTTTAAAGAGGTGCAAAGTGCCCTTAAACCTTCAGTCACCCTTAAAATCCAAAAGGCACATAAATAGTTTCGTTAATTCTGTTTATGTTTTTGCCGATATCCCAGTAGGAACTGAAAGGAAATGCCATGTTTTCATGGCATTTCTTTCCTGGAAACTTGAACTTGCCACCATGGGAAACCACTGCTTCAGCCAGCAAACATGGAATCGCCACACAGAGCCTATATCTTCTCATTTTTCACTCTGGATCAAAATGTCACACAGGTGCTTCAGACTGGCAAAGTCTTATTCAAGTGCCTTCATTCTATCTGCAAAGGAGGCTAGAAATTTGCATTGGGTCTCCTACATTGGTAAATTAGTGTTCTATTGATGCATAATTAATAACCTATAAATTTAGTGGCGTTAACCACTAGTCTATTACCTAACAGTTTTTATGAATCAAGAATTTGAGAGCGCTTTCAGTGGGCTCAGGGTCTCTCATGAGGTGGCGGTCAAGATGTCAGCTGGCCTGCAGTCACCTGAAGGCTTGACTTGGGTTGGAGGATCTGCTTCTAACATGGGTCATTCACATGACCACTGGCAGGAAGCCTCAGTTCCTCATCACAGTCACCTGAGCCCCTCCACTAAGCCCTGTGATGTGTCCTCACAACAGCTGGCTTCTACCAAAGTGAGTGATCAAAACTAGAAGTGGAGAAGGCAGTAAATTGTTTTATGACAGAGTCTTATAAGTTACACACCATCACTTCAACCTCTGTTGTGTATTGATTAGAGGGAAGTTGCTACATCAAGCACATAGTCAAGGGAAGGGACAGGAAAGAGTATGAGACAGTCTGTGAATATATTTTAAAACAACTGCAATGAAAGAAAGAGGATTCATAAGGTAGGCATATCCCTTCATGTAGAAAGGCTGTTGTACAGATGATGGGTGGCCATGAGTATGATGTCAGAAGAAGAATCTGTGATGATTTATTGGCTATGGGCTTTGAGGAAGTTGAGAACTCAATGATAATGTCCATGTCTCTATCTTGGGCTGCAGAATGATTGGGGCCCATTCACACAAGGAACATAGAAGGGCGAGAAAGTCTGGAAAATATGTATTCAATTTTGAACACGTGAAGTGGAGATATTCTAGATATTCTAGCATGTAGAAATATGGATCTAATGTTTGGAGATAAGATTCTGGGGAAAGACATGCATATGGAGGTCACAGTCATAGAGAGGACATTTGGAACTATTTGGGAGGTTGAGAGTGTATGTGCAAGAGAGGATGAAGTGTGGGACTAGCATGGAATTTGTGGAACACCAATTCCCTAAGATGAGAGGGAGCAGTCAACAAAGGAAGGAGAGGAGGAGGGGCAGAAAAGCAGAGGATGGTGGTGACACGGAGACCAGATGAGCGTCAGACCTTAAGATGGAGGGCATGGTAACAAGTGTCCGATGCTTCTGAGATGTCAGCTGAGGCTGCCTGACAGCGATCTCTGATCTCAGTAACATGTATTGATAGTTTATTATAAACTTTGGCTGAGCAGTTTTAAGAGAACAGGGAGGTTGAAGCCAAATTATGGCAATTGGAGGAAGGAGGTGCATGTGAAGAAATAGGGACAGATAATCCAGAGAACGTTGAAGAAGCTTGGGTGTGAACAGAATGACAGAAGCAAAATAATACTAACAAGTGGTCATAGGGCTGAGCAGTAGTCATGTTTAGGATAAAATGAAAATTAAGCACATTTAACGTTGATCAAAACTAGCCAATAAAAAGAAAGATGTTGATACAGGAGAGAGAGGATGTAACTGATAAAGCATGAACATCTTATTAAAGTCCCCTCTGCTTTTCTATCAAAGGAATCGTTCTGAAGAACTAAGCCTTCTGGAATTGTCCCTCTGGTGTCACAGAGGTTTTGCACCCTGAGGCAGTGCACCAGGCTGACGCTTGGAATGGGTAAGAAGGACTTTATTTTACAAAGTGATGTTAAGTCTAAATGTGAGAATGGCGATGGGCCAAACTTCCGTCTCTCTTCTCTGGCTGATCAGTTTCATCAAGGATGTTTATCGATGCTGAGGATGTAAAACATGTGTTCTTAAAATCAATGTGCTTGCATGCCCCTGGATAATAATCATGTACCCTCAGGGATACCAGTATCTAGGTTTGAACACTGATATATGTATATGTATATATTTTAATATTTGTTTATTTATTTTGGCTGCGCTGGGTCTTAGTTGTGGCACGGGATCTTTGCTGCGACATGCGAGATCCTTTAGTTGCGGCATGTGGACTTCTTAGTAGTGGCATGTGGATTCTTAGTTATGGCATGCATGCAGGATCTAGCTCCCTGACCAGGGATCAAACCCAGGCCCCCTGCATTGGGAGTGCAGAGTCTTACCCACTGGACCACCAGGGAAGTCCCTGAACACTGATATATTAATGGATACCAGTATTCAGTGGCTTCACTGGTCTTTACTTACTCACCTGGAATCTCTTTTCTTTGGAGCACAAACAAATAGAATCAAATTTGTGGTTTTGGAAGAAATTGAGACCTTGTTTCCCCTCTAGAGGTCAGTCCAAAA